AAAAAAAAAAAAAAAAAAAAAAAAAAAACATACTACCTCATACTATTATTATCATCAACAATCAAGACTTGATATTTTTTATCATCTTTTTTTAATATTTCATCAATTTCCTGATTATTGATTGGCAATTGATCTGTTATAACATCTTGAGTTTCAGATGCACTATTATTTATCCATTGAGAACTTTCTTCTAAATAAAGCTGTCGATTAGTATATAACGATAATTCACGATTATTTTTTATTGGATTTATCACGTCATAATTATATATTTGATTTATTGGTAAGTGATTACATCCAATTTGAAACCAGCATTTAAATGTAGTTCCCTGATTTACAACAGAGGTTACTGTAATATCTCCACCATGGTGTGCAATAAGTTCTTTGACGAGAGCGAGCCCTATGCCAGTACCTTCATTACTACGTTTTTTTTCTTGAGATTCAACTCTATAAAAACGTTGAAATATATTTGGAAGTGCGATTTCTGGAATGCCAACACCTAAAATTAAAATATTTATTTATAAATAGTTATTTAACATTATAAATTTAATTAAGAATATTGTTAACCTGTATCCGATACTTCAAGAACTACTATCTTATTCTTATCCTTGTAGTCATGAGATAAACGAATGGTAATTTGCCCTTTCCAGGTATGCTTGAATGCATTTGAACCTTTAATAAACATAAAATATATGCATAATTTGCAAAAAAAAAAATAAATAAATAAATAAAAATAAAAAAAAAATAAATAATAATAATAATAATTTTAACACAATTTTTCTAATGCAAAAATTTTTTAGGAGTCATTTATCTAATATACTATTTTTTTTAAAAAAATATTTTAGAAAAACGCTTACAAAGATTAAATACAATTGTTTCGTACATATCGCGATCCAAATAAATCTTATCGCCCACGGCTTTATAAAATTCTTCTTGATGTGGAATATCAATATGATAATCCAAACCTAATGCTTTGGCCATACCTTTAAAATCTGAGGCTAATTCTTGAGTAAATTCAACAATATTTGTTTCACAATAATTTGCTTTTAATTGATTAGTTTCTATATCTGAAAGCTATATAAGAAGTGAATGTCCTTAATAAAATAGATCCGGACATTAAGTTATAATTATTATTTATAACTATTAACAATATATAACCTACTTTCAATAGAGAGTTGATAAGTTTAAACAATCGAAGAGCGTTACGTCGTATAAGTTTAAGATTAGGTATTACTGGCGAATTTTGCTGGCATATGTTAATTACGTCATCAAGTGGGGAAAGTATTAAAGTTAATGGTGCTTAAATGGTAAGAAAAAAAATATATTGAGTCTATTTATATAAAACATTTATAAAAGTGTAATTTATGATAAATTAGTACATTTTAGTTCGTGACTAATTCCTTGAAAAAATGCAATTTTTTTGTAATTTAAATCAGCTAATAGTTTAGATCGTTTCTTTTCCTCTTCTATTATCCTCCCATGTTGTAAAAATGTCCTTATTTGATTTGTGATTAACTAATAAATTATAAAATATTTAAGTATTTTTTTAGTATTTTTCATAATTAAATTAATAATACGTAAAAAATATTACATGCAAAAATTCCATATATAGTTCATCAAGGGTGCAAACTCGACTAATACCATAAATTAATACTACTGATAAAACTTGTCCTTTGTCAAGTAAAATTTTTATCGATAAGATTACAGCCTGAGATTCGTCTTTTAAAAGAACTTTTACATGATTTTCTTCTTTTATTGCAAGGTATATAGGCCAATATTCACATTTTAAGAAAGTATAAGTTGCAGTTTTTCTTTTTAACTCTATATACGTGCCATAGTTCTTATTAATATCTTTAGTTAAATCAATTATTTCGGGAATTTCTGGTAAATAATCTGGAATATTCCGTCCTTTTTTATCGTCTTCATCAAAGGTCGTAGCGATTAAGCGAGCAATCAGTGATTCAGAACTAGTATTTAAATTATGCTTGACAAAGTAAATGAATGTATAAGGAATATCTTCATTATTACTTAATACTTTTGTTATAATATGGCAGGCACTTTCTAAGGACTCGATATCTTAAGAAATATTTTAAAAATATAAGCACATTAACAGATATAATTTCATAAATAAACTAGTTAAAATAATTACTAACCAGAAATTTGAAGCCCAAATTCGTCAAGTACTTTTAATCTTCGCTTAGTTAAAACTCCTGCAGTGGTTTCTTGTGCCGGACACCATAAAGCACAGACTGTACCATCTGATTTGTAAACCGGACTAAATGTATTGTAAAAGTATGCAACTTCGACATATCCATCACGTTGTAGTTCTGCGGGTTCATCGCGTCCAAGTACACCTTTGCCGGTTGTTATTACGCTACATATATTGAAATTAAAAAGAAGTTTAATGCTAAGAAGAAAATTATTCTTAAATTAAATTATTACTTACTTATTAAATTCTACCAACATACGATTCTCAAAGTGTCCAGCCCAAATATCTTTACATAACTTTCCGAATGCTAGTTAACATTAATAACGGTAATAAGTTAGCAATGATGTTTATTATAAAAAATGTAGAATAAAAAATATATAACTAACCGCTTGGATGTTGTGATTTTAGCATTGGTATAAATGCTATGAATAAATAGGATTAAATATTTAAGCAAATTAAATAGAAAAAAAAAAATTAAATCTAAAATTATTTTACCTCTATTATAGAATAGTATCCAATCTGGAGGACCGATAAAGATACAGATAGGAAATTCAACTTTGAGGCATAAATTCTAAAATTAAATACGTAGTTTTTACGAATCATATTTACGAATTAATATATTGATAAAAGTTTGCAATTTTAAGAAACTATAAATGTGCAAATTACCACAACATTTTTGAGGGCAAGATCCCATGTATCCATAGGACCAAGAGGAGTCGAAGACCAGTCATAATTATATACCATGTTAATAAAGTTTGATTCTTCATTTTCTATAACATCACTGCTATTAGTCAAAGATAACGACATATGAACTAATAAATGACAGTGCTATTAAAGATAATAGAAGTCATTTAATAGAAGAACAACCCATTATTAATTTGATTTAGTAAAATTTGCATACGTGGATGATATTTAGAAAACTGTTATAAATTTACTTCAGTATGTAGGTTTTATTTTGGTAAAAAATACTGTAACATTTCGATCCGTTATAACAAGTTTTTTTTCTTTTCGTGCGAATGTATGTATATTTAGTAAAATATTTAGTTTCGGCTTCTTATTGGCTGTTATAAAATTTAATTGCACTAATACGTACGTACGTACGTACGTATTGATACTTATGTGTTTCTAATTCTGCATAATAAATTTGTGTACTACTAAAGTATCATTACGATATTCTAGAATTAGTTTAAACGCTTGATTCAAATGTTTGTGAATGTAAACATTAATCTATTTTATATTTCTCTTTACGGTTAACATTAGATATTTATAACTTGTTTGATTATCTATCACTAACAATATATGACGTAACGAATTTTTTACTATATATCATGCAGTGTTGGAAATTCGATGTTCTAATGTTCTCATAGAACATCATATCTAATTTGAGAACATTCCCTTTAAAAAAAGTTTTCACTTATATTAATTAGTCAAGAGAACATTAGTTTGTGTAAGCTCGATATAAGGGAGAACATTTATTTAATTTGAGAACATTAAATAGTTCTCATGAGAACACTTAAATCAGTTTGAATTTTCAACACTGCTACTATGTATGAAATTTCCAATTTTATTCGACATTTTATAATAGATAAATTGAATCCTAATAGTATAACTATAGTTGCTACGAGATGCTATATCAAGATGATGAATAAAGGTGTTTTGCTTTAACATTTAGTTAATTTTCTGCTTAGAGTTTTTTTTACCGGATAATTATTTCTGATTCAAATTGATTCCTACGACTACGGATAGTGATCAATATGTGACTAATAAATATTACTCTCTAATATAATATAAAATCAAAATTAGTTTGAAATATAATTTAAGCACAGTACGTTGTGAAGGGCTCCGGGGCACCAATCGACCTTTTTTTTTTTTTTTTTTTTTTTTTTTTTTTTATTATTATTATTTTTTTTATTATTTTTTTTTTATATTATTATTATTTTTTTATTTATTTTGTATTTAGCGATTAGTGTTATTTGTTTTTAGTTAGTCTCTTACCTTATTAAATAGAACTCGAAGGTTGGGCTAATTTAGGGTAAAGATCGTCGTACACGAATTCCCGGAATTCCTAGAATTCCTGCTATTCTCAAAATTCCCAAAAAAATAAGAAAAATTAGAATAGCAAGAAAAATGGCAATAACAGGAATAATTTGAATGGCAAGAATAATTTGAATAGCGAGAAAAATAAGAATTACGAGAAAAAAACAAGAATTCTCGTTAATCCATTTTATGTAAAGAAAATGTATATATACAATGCGAAATTACCTTGAATAAAGACAACTCACAGAGTTCGAAAAAGTAAAA